AAGTTTGCCAAGTGGTGTAATTATGATTGTTGAGCTTCTTTACACCGCCTATCACTTGTAGGTCACTCATCGTGACTTGATTTACCTCCTCGTAATCAAGCAAGCTTTATAAAAACTCACGAACTCAAGAAGCTCAAAAAATCCTTCTTCGACCACCTTGCTCTGATATCAATTTGTAGAGTTTAGGACTTAAAGAAAGATATTATTTTATTTATAAAATAGATTTTACACACTTTGATTATATGGAGACACTCCTCACGAACACGCTACACTATCTCACTATATCTCTCTTTCCCACTTTTTCTATTTGCTCTCACTCTCTTCACACACTTTCTCTTATCACTCATGCATACACAATCTCACCTTATATTTATAGGTATTAACGGATGATTGTGGAAGGTTCTAGTATGATGGTGAACATAATTCTAGATGCATCCATAAATGGTGATGATAGTAATTGGATTCTCCTAGCATCTTCCAGGCATGGATGCATTCTATATTCTTCTAGTCTCTTCTAGTCATGAATCCCAATTTTCTAGAGAGTTCACGGAGCTTTCTTAAAGTCGGTGATGATCTTCACCTTATATTGTAAAAAGAAAAATCGTACAGGCTTGTCTCATGTTTTTTACTTTTTGACTTGGCTCTTTTCTGTGAATATGTTAGCGCTTCCAACATTTTACTTCATCTATGCCATTTCTGATTAGATAAAACGACTTGAGCTTCAACAATTGGATTTCTTACATTTCTGGATTACTTTAAAAGACATAATTTACTTAATTCGTTGGCATTCTATAAAATCGTTAAGGTGGATTAAACATGTCATGTGCCCAAGAACTACAATCCTGCAGTTTATCTTTTAGTTTATGGTGTGAATTAAATCTTGAAAATTACATTGAGAAAACAAAATGGTAAGTTTTTTATTATGGTGGAGTGTGGACAGTGTTAATTAGATTTTAGAGATATAAGCAATTGAATATTAAATACGACCATGTAAAAGCATTCCCGTAACAAGTCCTTCAGATGAATATTTAAAACTATCGGTTTGAGCCTTGCTGGTTCCTTAATAAAAAAAATTAAATTGAAGACTACTCGCTAAATTTGATTTTTATCTATATTT